AAAAAAAAAAAAAAAAAAAAAAAAAAAAAAAAGAACTACTCTTAATGATTAAACGCAAGAAGAGATATTGTTCGTGGGTGCGTTTGATTGTGTTAAATCTTTTTCAATTTTTCTTTATTTTCTCCCCAGTCTGTTTAGTTAATCTGCTTTACAATGTTTCTGCATCCAGACCGATCGGAAACACAGCGGGCTGCCGTCACTTCTTATTTAAGGGTCATTTTGGCAGAATTAACTGGGAAGGAATGGTTCAAATGGTAGCTCTCTGTAATTTTGTGATTTTTTTCTGTTTTGAACTGACTGTACTGTGAAACGTATCAACGGCTGTATATGTGTAGGTGGAGCGCATGCTAACAGGTGTCTGAGTGATTAATATTTTAGAGAATAACTCTGTGTGATTATATGTGCTTGTCTGTATCCGAAAACTTTGGAGTTGGTAAATATTAACGTCTGAAGATTTTTAGGTTTGTTTTTGTTGGTAAGCGTAGAAAGTTTCCTGTGAATCATGTGGTTGTTCTCTGAAGTTTGTGAATAACAATAGGCAACCCAACAAACATCGCCTGATTGTTCAGCATCAAATCCGATCGATCGTTACAGCTGTTTTCCAAAGACAAAAAAAAGATTTATTTAAAACAAGCATTTTTCTGCACTTCTTTTCATTTAACAGTTTTAATTTAAACTTTAAAAAAAAAAAAAAGAAAACCAAAAAGTTGTCTTTTGTTTTTCAGTCTTTTTATTGTTAGCTGACTTTTTGCTCACTTTTCCTTTATGCTAAAGTTTTGTTCGAAGTTTAAGCGCATCAAAAGTATTTTAAAAAAAGCATTGTTTCAAAGTTTTTGGTGTCGAATAATCTTCATACTGTTGTCAAAATATTATTTGGGCTCTGAAGAAAGTTATAGAACATTTTGTACTTTTTGTTTCTTCCTGTCAGCAATTGTCGCTTACTCGGTTTTCAATGCACACATCATTGAAGCCGCTGAGAAAGTGGTCGACGACTGCACTAGAATACATATCAGCACCGTTTATTAGGGATTTGTTTCTTTGCTGTTTCATTATGTTAAAAAAGTATGATGACAAGTAAAATCTTGTGCTTTGAGTTTGATAAATTTATTTGTCAACTTATTAAGCTGGATGTTTTCATTTTTCAATTTTTATGTACCGCAAATGACCTGAAAATTACCTATTTTCTTGAGGAATTTCCTCCTGTTTTAAGTTTTCAAAGTGACTGTTGTTCATTCAAGCGTCAAAAATTTACGTTTTTATGTCAGAGGTAGCACAATTTGTCTTTAGTCACCAATAATCTTATACGTGGCAATTTCTTAGGCACTGAAAAATAAGGACCAAAAAGAGGTATGACATTGTCATCAGAGGCAACGAAAGTGGATGTTAAAGAGACTGAAATGAGTGAAGAAATGGTTGAAGAAAGCATTGCTATTGCAAAGGAGGGCTTAAAACGGTGTAATTCGGACAAGGTTAGCATTTTCAGTCTGAAAAGCAAAACTGTGCCGTTAATCTCTCAAAAACCACCACTAATTTTATGCCAGTTTACTTAACTTTTTCGATAGTGTATAGCAATTTGATTATTCGTTATCACATCATTTCTCGTCTAATTATGCAGTTGTTTAGACATCTCTGAGGGAATTTTTTTTGAGTAGGGCTGACAAAATAAAATTTAAATTTAGAAGACTGCGAAATATTTAAACTGAGCAAATTGGAATGAGTTACTGCAGAATTACTTTTCTTTAAAGAGAAGAGTTAATGACAGTACAATCGCGGTTCAGAATCTTTTTAGAAAATAGTTGGAATAAAGTGGGATTTTTTAGTAAATACCTCAATAATTATTGAAATAAACGCACATATTTTAATACTAAACGTATGAGGAACTGCTTAAAAGAATTTGTTTTTTAGGCGTCTTACTGTAACTTTGACTGTTAAAGTTGTTATTATTGTCAGAAATCGAATATTTTACGTTTCTCAAAAAGTTCTATGTGAATTTAAAATTTGGCAAAGGAAGAAATTGCACACTAACAAAAAGTAAAAAAATTCAAAGTTTCTGCAAAAATCAATTTTTTATTGAATTATAAAAAACAGAAGATTTTCTAATAAATAAAGTTTTAGCTTTCGTTTTTTAATATTTTTTATATTTTTGCTAGTAAATTTTTATTACTCAGATGCTCTCTATGTTCTCTAATATTTCAACCAAACAACAACCACTGGACAATTTTTAACCTGATCAGTTCAAGTTTCTTGCTATATTCATTTCTTATTCCCAGTGTAGGTTTATAGGTCACTTCAAAAAACTGGAAGGATAAAAGAGGGCTTTTTCTGCATTTATTGATGGTTTAGCCAAAAGTAGTGAAAAAATTTTGAACGTGAACATCGCCTAGTGTACTTTAGCTGGCTATCAACGTGAATGCAGACAATGTTGTTTTAGCAGATCATATTGCTGTATCATTGCATTAACTACTGGGACAGAAGTACTGAGCAAGGAATTTCAAGTGAATTTTGATTTCTGTTTCAGTTGTCTAGAAGAAGAGGAGGAATTTGAAAGAGTTAAAAAAAGACTTTCAAAAAATTTAATTGCATTTTTTTTGGGCCTACTTTCTTTCCATAGATTCTGTTAACAGTCTATAAAGCGTAATATAGATAACACTTTCTTAACTGTTATTGTAACTGTTGCTTCATTTAAGATAATGTTTTAGTTTTAGTCTGTTTCAGTCTAGCAGCAAATGGACAATCCAAGAAGACCGCTTGTAAACAAACTATGCTTATCTTTTGTCATTAGCTTTGTGCAACTAAAAACTTAATACCTCCGCAAACTTGCGTCTATCAGGTTCTGCAAAAAAAAAAAAATTATATGGGTGTTATTTCTTTTTCAAAACTTCACCTATGTAGTTGAAACAGAAATTGAAATAAGAAGACTTAGAACCGTCAATTTCTTCAATGTAACTTTCCTCTTAACTCATTTTTTTGCTTTCTTTTTTTTGCCCGCAGTTATAAAAGCAAATAATAAATTGAACATCTGGTGCAAATTTTTAAAACGAAGAATACTGAATTGTTTGCTGGTGGCATGAGTGGCAAACAAAAAAACTACTCAAATATAAGTTAAAAAAATGCTTTCTATTGTTCTGTGATAACAATATCAGTTAACAACTAAAAAGTAGTTTGGCTTTAAAAGATTGGACGACAGCAAACAGCTACTACCGGTATTGAAAGACTATCAAACCGTGGTGTTTTTAAAAATCTAGAATGTCTCGCTGAATGCAGAAATGCGTTTGACAAGGATTTCTTGACATGTTGATATAGAGCGACTTCGCACGCAAATAATTTTCTTTATATTTGCTAATTTTTGTTTTTAGGATGTAGCATCGTTTGTGAAAGATGAATTTGAGAAAAAATACGGTTCGACATGGCATTGCGTCGTTGGTAGCAGCTTTGGTTCCCGTGTATCCTATGAAGTCGGCAATTTTGTTTTGCTGCAGATTGGCCGAATATTTGTTATGATCTTTAAATGCGGGTATTAAATGTCTGTTTGACACACATGTTTCTTTCCACCGGTCACCTCAAAGACTTCTACTTAAAAAAATTTTAAAAATATAAAACAGAAGCTGGATAAAATCATTTTCTTCATCTCTGTTTTTTTTTTTTTTTTTCTGTACATCAGTAAATTGTATATTAAGCGAGGCAAGCATAAATTTAATGATGTATAATAGTTAATTGTACGAATACCAATATATGTGTATAATTTATTTTTACTAGTTGAATGCAAAAGAGTAATTAAAAAAATCACCTGTTACGAATGAACTACTTATCAGTCTAACTAATTTTTCCTTCAATTAATTTTCAGTCTTTTTTATTTTTGCAAATTACTCTGATTCTTTGCCATTGACAGGAATGAATCCGCCTCTAAAACTATTCCTTAATGATAAGATGATAAGATAATAACAGTCAACTGGTTAAATCAGCCGGCCATTTAAGAGGTTTTTTTGCTTTTAAGAAAAGAAAGGAGAATAAAAATTGTTTCTTCTAGTTTAGAAACGGCGCAAATTTAAAATCAACTCAAAAAATAAATGAAAAATAAAAAGGAAAAATTGGTGAGATAAGAGAGCTCTTTAGAGACTGAAATATGTAACCATTCTGTTCCAGATGTTTTCTAAAGGAAGGCAGTTTGCATACTATAAGCTGCAAACCATGGGAAATAAATTAAATTGGTAAATTGGTAAACTCAGTAGAGAGAAGTAACAAAAAACAGCTAAATAATTAAAATTTATTTTTTTTTTTTTTGCTTGACAAGGAGCAAAAGATGTTGATAATTTTAAAATTACGTCAACAGGCGACATTGTGCCCATCTGCTTACTAAAAATTCATATTAATTTACCAGTGTTAAACAGTTTTAACAAAGTTAACAAGGTCATTTAAGAGCGGAAAGTTTGGCAAAATGCAGTATTTGCTCGAAGATGTTGAGGTAACAGCATCAAATGCGAAGTCTCTTTCCAATTACGTCTTGCGGCTAGGAACCAAATAAAGTCGTTCCCTTTTGCCAAACTAAACATTTAGTTTTGCAGCTGGTTACTGTTGTCACTCATCATCTTTACAAACTCTTCATAATCAATCTCTCCATTACCTAGAAATTAATTTAGTTACTGGTGAAGTATTAAAATTTTAAAAAAAAGCCAATTTTTTTTCATAGAAAATCCTTCACAACATAAACAGAGCTAACCATCTACATCAATTTCACGCATCATTTCATCGACCTCATAATCGTCAAACTGCATGCCCATATGTACCTAAACAAGATAAAATTTAGTTGAATATTTGTTAATAAAATTTTGAAAGAAAATGTGTATGTTCATCTGCCTTTGTGTTTGTTGTCGCTAAATTAGCGAAGCAATTTGCTACCAAAGAAAAAAGAGAGAAAAAAAAGGGCCCAAACAATAAATAACACCAAGATTGATGAGGAAAGATTGCGTCTACACAAGGAAGCAGGTAACTCCTGTTATGAGCCACTGCGATTAATGGAGAAGATATAGGACTCTTCACTCTGTGCCAATAGAGGTCAACAGGAATGCTTACAATCCAGCCAGCAACCGCTCCTTCCTCTGGTAGCGGCAAGACAGCTGTAAGCAGCTTTAAAACTCTGGTTAGCAGATGACCGGTGAACAATTTGTCGCTTATAACTGATAGCCATTGTAACAACATCATATAATTAAGCTCAATATTACAATATGTTTTATTGTATGGTTAATTTGTTTATGGTAATTTGGGGAAATTGGTGAGTGTAAAAAGGAGATAAATTCAAGATTGGGGGGCTTCAGTTTCTTCTGCTTCTTCTGCTTCTTCTCCCGCTTTGGTTTTTTCTCCTTCAACTTCTTTGGAAACACCAATTCCTTCATATACTCATCAATACACTTAATTCACTGAACATCAACTGTATTGTATTTGGAAGAAAATAAACTATTATACTCGCAGAATTCGATTACATAAACGACCCTCGTGGCAGAACGTTCAAAAGGTTTTTTTTACCTGCATCAACAAACTAAAATCACAAACATATTTTTTTTCTACAACAATGGTTCAGAAACAGTACCATGAAATATCGAAATTCCGACTCAGTGATAACTCCGTTCCCATCCTTGTCAAAAACCCGAAATGCTTCACGAATCATCTCTTGATCAGTTTCCTTCATTATTCGTTTCATCATCACACAGAACTCCGGAAACTCAATTTGTCCATTTCCATCAATATCAACTTCGTTAATTATATCAATTATTTCCTGTAATTGATATTTTTGATGTCAAAATAGCACGACACTTTGAATGCGATGCAAAATGTGAAGTTATAATTTGAAAGTAATTTACTCATTTTGTTCTTTATCATAACTTTAAAAAAAAGTTCTCCAGTTCCACACGCAAAGCAACTCAAACTTCTAGTTTTTTTTCCAGTTAGAGTTACATTCAGTAACTTTAGGAAAAAACACTCAAGGTATCTGTAGTTGAGTTTCTCTTTTTAATTTATATCAGCGCTTCTGCTGAGCACCTACACCAGTCATATGTAGAGCGTCAGCCTTACCGTATACTAAGGAACATAAAGAAATTCTACAAAGTGCACACTCCTCATAGTAGTTGCTCTTCAATTATTCTTATAATAGGTGAAGAGGCAAAACTAAATTAAGTTTTAAATGATGTAGAGATTGATTACGAAGAGTTTGTCAAGATGAGGAGTGACACTAGTGACCAACTGTAAAAAGAGTTTTCTAACACCCAAACTGAGTCAAAAAATTATCAGACTGAATTTATCTTCTTGAGTTTTTAAAGTAAATTAAGCGTAGCTGGTCTTGAAAACCGTGATTGAAACTCACAGTTTTGTTGTATCTCTTAGAGAATCAGCAATTCATTTTTGGTTTTTTGTTGAGTATTACCTTTGACTATTAGCCAAGAACTTTTTTTGAAAAGATCAGAAGTGAGGACAAGATAAGAGACTACATATAAGATAACAATGATCCCATAACCATCTCGTAGGGTTAATTTTAATTTTCTGTACAATGATGAAAAAATATCGTTTGATCGCTACTGATTTTCTCAAACTTTTAATTGTGCTACACAAAATGTTTTTTATCGCTTGTTGATAAGTCATAAACTCTGTAATGTTGAATACATCATTCTGTCAAGGGAAAAAGTAAAATAAAAGCTGAATGCATTGTATGAGACCAAACTGCTTCTGCATAATTTCAAGCGTACTTGTTCAGTTGGGTTCTGCCCCAGAGATCGCATTGCTACACCTAATTCAGAAATCGAAATTGTTCCATTACCGTCCTGAAATTGAGTCGTAATTGTAATACCGTTCTGCAACGGTTGCATACAGCAGTGGAATCTGAACTGATGCAGCTATAGGCGCCTGCCAACATAAATTTTGAATTTCTTTTTAACTTCCCTAGTAGTCTCAGATATATAAAAGAAAAGAACTAAACAGAGAAACAAATTAATGAATATTTTGGATTTTTATACACTTCAACGAAAAGAATATTTTGTCAAGTAATCGTATTAGCTATAATTTCATGCACGAAAAATGTAAAAGCTTTGTCGGTAACGCGCCATATAAACACTTATAATGCTCTTTAAAAGTTTTTATCTTACTTTTCCGATTAACTTTTCTCAATGACTCACAATACCTATTGTTGATTTTCTAACCAAAATAACTTCACATTAAAATTTCAGCAGTTTTTTCCAAAAACTTTTCATTAACCTTATCAAACAACAAGAACGCTTCACGAAATTCATCAATTTCTTGGTTTGTCAGTGAGCTGATTACCTGAAAAATATATATTTTGATTAAAAGTTGATACAAAAAGGCATATAATTTTTAGAAAAGGAACTACCATTCATCAAAAAACTTTATATTTTCTTGACTAAAACTGGAAAAAACAGTAAATAGTTTGGTCTGCAAATAATTACATTACCTCTTCACTTTGCTTCAAGATGCCGCTCCAGGTTTTACTATACACTGCCATTTTATTGACCGCTACAGCTGGTTCCTTCCGGAACTTCGCAGAAAAAGAAGCATATAAGCCAACTAATAACAATTGAACTTTGAGTTTTTTAAAGAGCAGCAATCAAGAAGCGTCTTAACTATTTACTCACTCAATTGTTCGCTCTATTTTCTCAAAAATAACTCAGTCAACATTAGTAAATTTACTTTGTTCCTCAGAAAACATAGCACTAATGCCCTAATGTAGTCCGCAAACAAAAGTCAAACGACGACTGCTCCTAAACCCTGTTATAGTTACGAATGCTAGATCACACGGTGGTTAATTTCAAGCTTTTTCAATGCAGTCAGACGCAGACTGACAACTTTCAGCGTAAAACTTGAAAGTTTGAGTGAATGCTCTACGTGCTTAACCAAATATGAACCAGAAGCACTCATTTGCCACAAACTGTTATAGTAGCCTCTAAATAATACTCTGATCTAAAAAATATGTCCCAAAGATGTTTCATTTTTGACTAAGAAACAAGTAAGAAGCAAAAATGAGTTGTGTAAAATTGACTTGAAAAAGCCATCATCAAAAAGTGACTACTTTTTTAAGAACATCGCGAAATAGTGCTGTTGAGAAGAAATGTAAGTCAAAATTTAACAAGTTTAGACAAGCTGTGAAAAATGAAGAAAAGAATGAAGCTAAACCTGCTTTGATCCGGCAAGTAACAGTTAACCGTTAAATTATTTCAGATAAAAACCAAAATATAGTAGCCAAAAATGTAGCTACTACCTTGCAAAATTTCTACATCGTTTTTGTTTTAAATCGGCACTAAACAGCTGAACAGCTGAACAGCCAAGATAGAAATTCGAAAACAATGAATCAGAATCCAGTAACTTCACAAACTTTTCACCTGTGACGACCACTTAGTAGTTTGAAAAAATTAGAAACTGCTCCTTGACAAATATAAAAGCAAATTGAAAAAACGCTCTTGCAGAAGATGTTCAAGGTTTTAAAAAAAAAAATAACTTTGCCCTTTAACAACTGTTTTTGTCTTTTTTCCTAAACTAAAATTGCGAATTGTCCACAAGAGTAATAGAACGAATGCAAGAGACAAAATTGCTTTTTTTCTTCTGCTACTGCAATTTCTAGAATTATCCACAATTATCCGAGAGTAATAGCAACTCCAGTAAACTCCTATTTGAGAAAATTTAAAAACTTTTAAAAGTAATATGAAACTGTACTGATCTCGACGAAGTTTTTTGTTCATTTAAAGAGACAAATAGTGAAATCGATAGAAAAAGAACAGTCTCATTCAAGTACTCTTCTCACCGCACAAAACAATTGGCTCCAATAATCGAAGTAGCATCTAGTTAAGAAGCAGTAAAAAGCCGAGAAAACAAAAAGACACAATATCGGGCAGTAAGTAAACAAATTAAAATTAAAAACATTCTTTCACTTCAGTGAATAAAACGACGAGCAGATTTTTTGATATTTCAAAGATAAAATTTTTTAGCCTCCCACTCGCCGAAGTAAGCCAAATAGTTCTGCAATTGGATATTTGTATGAAAGACGTAAGCTTATACATAAACTTATGAGAGTCTGAATGTGAAGTAATTCATCGCAAAACTAGAAAAATTGTTGCATTTTGTAGAAAAGTTGTTACATGTCCTAAACTTTGTCACGAAGTGATAAAACTGGCTTACTTCCGCTGCTTCATCCTTTCCGTCTTCTCAAATTTCAGGAATCACTTGCTTCAACCTTCAACATTGAACAAAACAAGACTAATAAAGTTGTAGCTCGTAATTTATCGAATTGTTTCACTCAAGGTAAAAATGTCTTCTGACTTACAAATTTTAAATGCTGCCCACAACAAATAAAAATTAAAAGTTGTACTTAGTGTGAAACAAGTAATAAATATAACTTCTGCACTAACTGATAAATGCCAATTGTCTTGTTGTTGAAAGTCAGGAAATATCAACCTAAGGTCTGTCTCAGCAAGAGAAAGAATTTTAAGTAAATTTAGAAACATAGCTGTCTAAACCAAAAATTTTCCAAAGCTATTGAATGCATCTCGTGATAATATACTACAGATAACGTATTTCTTACAATTCACTCATCTCCTTAATTAATCTTCGTTAGATTGAACACGTTTTTTAGATTATTTGCTGTATAAAGCCCCTTAAGTTAAAAAAAACTCAAATGTTGCTTTATACAGAAAAATTAACCAAATGGGAGTTGAATGCTCAAAATGAGAATCGTCTAGAAAGTGGAGAACGAACTAAATTGCTTTTGATCACTCCTATAGATACGACAAAAAAATCCTCTGATTTTAAAAAGCCTCTGTAGATTTTATAAATCCAAACAATTTCAGAAAACATTATAAAAAGGACAAAATTGAAAACACAGAAAACGGCAAAAAGTAGATAAAAACACTACAGTCTTCTTTGTATTGCAGTTATAAAACGCAGCGAAGAGAAAATTTTTAAAAACATGTAGATTAACAGGCGCCACATGTATAAATACTACTGTATCAAACCCTTCAGTCCTTCACCGATTTCCAATTTATATTCCACCCCAACTACTAGCTAGCAGACTTATTATTAGATCTTCAAAACGTTTCTTCAAAAAATAGCTCCAAATCAGCTATTTTGCAAGCATGCCATGGGTTTAAGAGACACTAAACTGCTGAAGCTACCAGTGAGGAGTTCTCTGAAAGAATGATTTGAAAATCCTAGAGATTTTCCGAAAAGAAGATAAATGCCAGATCATGTATCAATTGCCTCAAATATTAATTTTGCTTCTAGCAAGTAAACATATCTTTATTCTTATTATCTTTCTTTGCAAAAAAGTAGTACAATACTTCTCAAAGTGTTGTTAGCTTTACGCTCTTCAAATAAACACACACTGCAAAGTTGGCAAATGTTTTTGTATTTGTTTCGCATAGAATTTAAGCCATTAAATCATTGCCATCGTAACACTAAATTTGGGAATTCCTGAGGACAGCACTCCAAAAGGCCAAACGGCATAATACCAAAAGCAAAAATCGACT